GTGTGAGGTGGGAAGGATAGGATGGATGAGGAGACCACTTTGGAACACTGTTTAATTAAAGAAATGGGAGCTAGGGAGGGACCACTCTGTAAAGCCAGGGGATACGGAGACACAGGGAGAGAGGCTCAGGCCAAGGCAGGTGGGAGGAGGGCAGCCAATGGAGTGAGTCTCAGTGCAGCAGCCAAAGTCCAAGGCCAGCCAAGGAGGTGAGGAAGACAAGGCCCAGGGCCGGAGTGGGCCGGGGGCCTGCGCTGTTGCAGTTGTCCTTGTTGCAGCAGGTGGTGTTATAGGTCAGGCCCAGCTTGCGGTTGGTTTGGTTGAAGGCCTCCTGACAGGGCTCTTCTGGTGTGCCACAGCGCAGGTTGGAGAAAACCCACATCTTACCTAGGGGTGGGAATGGGCAGGGAGTCAGCTAGGATGGGCACCTGGCATGCCTGTGTCCACCTCCCCACCCCTTCCACTCGTCCAGGCTTCCTTCCTTCCCATCTCTGTCCCGGGCCCTCCCCTTCTCTTATCTCAGTCTGATCTTCCTCCTGCACTTCCTTATCCCCACTCCCCAAGTCCTGGTTCTATCACTTGCTGGCGGTTAGGCCTTGGACCTGTTACTGTCTTTTTTTTTTTTGAGATGGAGTTTCGCTCTTGTTGCCCAGGCTGGAGTGCAGTGGTGCGATCTCAGCTCACCAAAACCTCTGCCTCCAGGGTTCAAACGATTCTCCTGCCTCAGCCTCCTGAGTAGCTGAGATCACAGGTGTGCGCCACCATACCTGGCTAATTTTGTATTTTTAGTAGAGACCAGGTTTCTCCATGTTGTCCAGGCTAGTGTTGGACTCCTGACCTCAGATGATCCATCTGCTTTAGCCTCCCACAGTGCTGGGATTACAGGCGTGAGCCACCACACCTGGCCATTTTTTTTTTTTTAAGATAGTCTCACTCTTGCCCAGGCTGGAGTGCAATGGCACAATCTCAGCTCGATGCAACCTCTGCCTCCTGGGTTAAGTGATTCTCCTGTCTCAGACTCCCAAGAAGCTGGGATTACAGGTGCTCACCACAACGCCCAGCTAATTTTTGTGTTTTTAGTAGAAATGCGGTTTCACCATGTTGATCAGGCTGGTCTCAAACTCCTGACCTCAAGTGATCCGCCTGCCTTGGCCTCTCAAAGTCCTGGGATTACAGGCATGAGCCATCATGCTCAGCTGTGTCACTCTCTCTTTGTGAGGCTGTTTCCTCAATAGAATAATAGCACCCACATCTTAAGGTTGTCATGAACATTAATTTTAAAAAAGGCATGCAAAGACATAGGATGTTGCCTGCCACACAATCATCTTTGGGCAAATATTATCATTGCTATAATTCTCTGCTTCTCCACCTCAGTCTTGCCCCATTTGGGCCTCAGTCCTGGCCATAGAGTCTCCCACCTCCCCGCTCTCCCCACAAAGGAAGGGGATGTTACCAAGGTATGCATGTGTTGTCAGGCATTGCTGTCCTGGCTCCAGGCGGCAGGACTGCCGGTCCACACAGCCCAGCACAGGGACCTTGTAGCAGGAGTGACAGCGAATGTCAGCTGGGGAGACACAAGTCAGGCTGAGGTGATGGGGTCTCTGACTTACCTGGGGATACGCTGAGCTGGGGTGAGGGTGGAGGGTAGAGAAGAGCCTACCAGGTAGGTGCTCTAACCTGTTTGGCTGTTTGGTCTAGTAGGGACAGAACAGGTGAGTGATGCAGGGAAAATGGAAAGTGGGCGGCTGGTAAAGGTAGAGTTGTTGCTTTGCGAAAGGCTCACGCCCTACATATCTCCCTTCACTCCACCCCATTTGGAGATGAGTCAAGAGGGACAGAGCTATGAACAAAAACAAGAGGCTGGGGATAGATGGAATATGAGCAAGGTACCATGGGGAAATAATGTGGGTGGTGGAAGAGGAGATGGAGACCTGAAAGAAGGAGAAATAATGAAAATGACAATTGGCCGGACGTGGTGGCTCATGCCTGTAATCCCAGCACTTTGGGAGGCTGAGGCGGGTGGATCATGAAGTCAGGAGTTTGAGACCATCCTGGCCAATATGGTGAAACCCTGGTCTCTACTAAAAATACAACAATTAGCTGGGCATGGTGGCATGTGTCTGTAATCCCAGCTACTCGGGAGGCTGAGGCAGGAAATCACTTGAACTAGGGAGTCGGAAGTTGCAGTGAGTGGAGATGGCACTACTGCACTCCAGCCTGGCGACAGAGCGAGACTCTGTCTCAAAAAAAAAAAAAAAAAAATCATGAGGGTTACAACACTGTCAGAAATGCCTTGGAACTTGAGGCTGGCAAAGAAAGCCATCTGCGGCCAGCTGTACAATTTACAAATTACTCTTCACCTCCTAGATCTGGCAAGAGCGTGGGAAGAGGAACCAGACCTGAATAGGATCCTCTCACCCCAGTAGCTCTTCAGCAGAAAGGAATACCTGAGAGACAGATCACCAGATTCCATCTGAGCACCTTATCAAAATGGAGAGGGTGGATACCAAAGGTGGCACCCCAAAGTTCCTGCTTCAGCTAATTCAAGGTTTGTGCTGGCAAGATTTGGTGACACAGGGTTCAAGGGTGGAGGAGCCTTGGAAGTGTACCTCAGTGAAACCCACCTCACCCTGGAGGTGAGTGGCCTGGGTGTCCTCTCTTTAGAAGGTTCAAGAAAACGCTGTATTTCCATGGAGGCTCTTAGATGTCACTGGAACCATCTAGAAAGCTTGTATCCTGGGTAGGGGAGGTGGTATGCAACCCAGGGGGAAGTAGAGGGTATCTAGGAAAGGCCATGGTTGAAAGACTGAATATCTACGTCCCTGATGGAGTAGATGGGGAGGGTAGGCTACAAAAGGAGCCTGGAGCTGGATGCCTAGGACTCTGAGAGGACACCGAGCACAAGAGATAGAGGAGAAGGCAGGTGAGCTAGATTCTGGAGAGTTGCATATTGAAGTGGGGTTGGTTGGGGAACTGGACACTAGAGTTTCCAAGGAGGGGACACCTTGGAGTGGGGAACAGGAGACCCAGAGCCCTGGCAGGTGAGAAAAGTGGGTCTTTCTTTGAGGTAGGGAAGATGGATGGCGAGCAGGCTTTTTGAGAAATAGAGCAAGGAGGCTGTCATAGGGAAGTCTGGTCTTGGTGGCACAGGAGAGCTGAGCTAATTGGGGCTGGGGGTGTTGGGATCCTGAGTGGTGGGTAGGGCAGGGCAGTAGGTAGAGCAGGGTGTAAAGGTCCTGACCAGGCAAACCAGGTCCTTGGGGCCCCCAGGTACTCACCTGAGACCCAGCAGAGCAGAGCAGACAGGGTGAGCAGCAGAAGTCCTTTCATAGCGAGGGTCCTGAGTACGGTGGCTGAGTACAGGAGCTGATAGAGTAGATTTTGGAAGATCTGGCTCTGGGAGTTGGGTGACCTTTTTGGAACTTATAAACCGAAAGGCTCCTCCCTTCCCTGCGTCTGGTAGCCCCTCCCTTCTCACTTACTACACAGCTGACCAGAAAGAAGACAAGGGGTGGGGAGGCACTGAGCAGGACTGAGTGGGGAATAGGGATGGGAGAGAGGGATGGGGGAGGGCAGGTGCCATTAGTGGCCAACACCATTGTAGTTCTTGGTTTCAGGCCAAGATGCCCCTCCTGGCCCCCAGCTAAGAGTCCTGCTGCTCAGTCCTGTGAATGAGCATTATCAAAGGCCTCTGTGATTTATAGTGTCCATGGTGGTAGCTTCTGCTGGTTCCTGGGAAACGGACAATGGGATGTGGCCCAAATTAATTGCTGAATTTGGGTCCCTGCTGGGCATTGATAGCAGCATTCTGGCAGAAACTGGGGATGGAATGGGTCAAATTATCTCCATTAAGCCCCCACTTGGCCTTTCCAATGCCCGCTCAGCCAGAGGATGGATTTTGACTCACTGATGGCTTCTGTGATGCCATAGCAGCAGAGGCAGGGCCTGGGGCTGCTCGTCCAGGAGAGCCACTACAGGTCTGCTAAGTGGGGGCTGGCTCAGGCCCCCATGAAGGTTCTCAGGACCTTCACACCACTTGTGCTTGGTGTGGCCTTGTTGCTCCAGTCCAGTGGCAGCAATTGTCCTAGGTGTGGCTGTGTGCACCTGCAGCAAAGCGCCTCCCCAATCAAAACCTGCCAACTTGGGCAGGGCACCAAGGCAGGAGGAACAGCGTGGGCACAGAGAGATGAGGTAGAAGCTAAAATAAGAATAGAAACAGCTGGCTGGGCGCGGTGGTTCCTGCCTGTAATCCTGGCACTTTGGGAGGCTGAGGCAGGCAGATGGCCTGAGGTCAGGAGTTTGAGACCAGCCTGGCCAACATGGAGAAACCCCGTCTCTACTAAAAACACAAAAATTAGCTGGATGTGGTGGCAGGTGCCTGTAATCCCAGCTACTTGGGAGGCTGAGGCAGGAGAATCGCTTGAAACCAGGAGGCAGAGATTGAGGTGAGCCGAGATTGTGCCATTGCACTCCAGCCTGGGCGACAAAAGTAAGCGTTTGTCTCAAAAAAAAAAAAAAAAAAGAAAGAAAGAAAGAAAGAAAAGAAAAAGAAATAATAGAAATACTAATAATAACAGCAAGCACTTACATAGTGATCCTATGTGTTCTAGACATAGTTTACATGTATAATTTTATTTCGTTCTCAAAATGCCCTACAAAACAGGGGTTTTTGTTGTTTTTGAGATAGGGTCTGGCGGGCTCTGTCACCCAGGCTGGAGTGCAGTGGCCTGATCACAGTTCACTGCAACCTCGACCTCCTAAGCTCAAGGGATCCTCCCACCTCAGCCTCACCAGTAGCTGGGATTACAGGAGCGCCTGTAAAGTTAAGCAGGCAAAAGCATTTGTGTAAATGGCCCAAGCACACATTTTAAGTGAGCACTGTTTGAGGACTCTGAGTTTGCCTGTGAGGATTCCCAAAGGGATCTGGGCAGCTGGTGGCACCTCCCCCTCTCTTATCGGAGCCCCCCAGCCCCTCCGTTCTCCCCACCCCCAGCTTCCCTCCGGTTCCTTCTCCCCACCCCACGCTGATTAGCTCGCAGCCTCTCCTCACCACATCCCTACTATGGCTGTGTTTCTGCAGCTGTTACTGCTGCTGCACTCGAGGGCCCAAGGGAACCCTGGGGGTAAGTGAACCCTGGGAGAGTTGTGATAGACTCAGAGGGGCTGAGGCAAGAAAGGGGGCACCTAGCAGGGTGGGTTGTGTGTGGGAAGATCCAAGATGGCTGGAGTGCAGAAGAGAGAAGAGAATGAGGAGAAGGGATGGGGTGTCGTCTTGCCCTATGTACCGGCCCTAACCACAGCCTCCGGCTTCCTCTAGCTTCTCTGGAGGGCCTCCCCGGGGACCGGGTGAATCTCTCATGCGTAGGAGTCTCTCACCCCATCCGCTGGGTCTGGGCGCCCAGCTTCCCGGCCTGCAAGGGCCTGTCCAAAGGACGGCGGCCAATCCTGTGGGACTCTTCCAGCGGGACCCCCACCGTGCCTCCCCTCCAGCCCTTCGTTGGCCGCCTACGCTCCCTGGAGCCTGGTATCCGGCGGCTGGAGCTCCTCTTGAGCGTGGGGGACTCAGGCACCTTTTTCTGCAAGGGCCGCCACGAGGACGAGAGCCGTACAGTGCTTCACGTGCTGGGGGACAGGGCCTCTTGCAAGGCCCCGGGGCCTACCCACGGTAGGTCCAAGGCCTGTGAGTTCAAGGGTACTCAACTCCCACACAGACCCGTGGGAGGGAAGAGGGCCCTGGCTGGGGGTTCTTGAGTGGGAGAGCTGGCTCTCTTTGGTCATACCCCTGACCTCAGCATCCCTCCCTGCCACACTGTTCCCCCAGGGTCCGTGTATCCCCAGCTCCTGATCCCGCTGCTGGGCGCTGGGCTGGTGCTGGGACTGGGAGTTTTGGGCCTCGTCTGGTGGCTGCACAGGTGAGCAAAAGCCTAGTTAAATGGGGAGTGACCAGAGGTGGAAGGGGCAGGACCAGAACCTTCGCGAAAGAAAGAGCTAGACCTAGAGCCCTTGCCCTGGGTTGGAGAAGAATGGGAGAGGTGGAAGGTGGGAGCGAGGCCACTGGCTGGTGAGTGCAGCCCCGCCAGAGATGAGCCGGAAGTGCTGCGGGGTCAGAGCCTGGGCTGGACTATCTGTGGGGGTAGAGTCTAACTTGTTTCCGGTCTGAGCCTTCAAGTTGCTGGACTGTCCTTGGCACCGCTTGAGTTCCGGGAGAACCAGTAAGACAAGACTGGTGACTCTCGAAGACTCTTATATGTCCCTTACAGGCGCCTGCCCCCGCAGCCGATTCGACCACTCCCTGGATTTGGTGAGACTAACTCCACCCCATTTTCTTTCTCCTACATGCCCGCCCACTCCCCACCCCTTAGTTCCTGAGTCTGAGCCCTTGCTGGGAGCAGACACGTTGGTCACCTTCTCTCCATCCTTCAGCTCTGTCCCCCCCACATAGCTCCACTTGTGAAAGCCGAGCCCCAGAGAGCAGTAAAGGAGGAACAGCCCAAGATTCCAAGGGACCTGGACCAGGAACTGGTAAGGGCTTGGGGATGGAAAGGGGGCTGCCCAGAATGTCTGAGGAAAATGGACCAGAAAAAAAAAAAAGGCCTGAATCCCAGGGAAGACTGGAGACCATCTTGTCTTCCTCTCTTTCCTCCAGAGCCTTCACTATGCGGATCTGGACCACCTGGCCCTCAGCAGGCCCCAACGGCTGTCCACAGTGGACCCTACTGATGCTTCCACCATCTATGCAGTTGTAGTTTGAAGGGAAGCCCTTACTCCAAATCTCCCAAGCTGGAGGCTCCCAGCTCCCCATAATCCCTCTCACCTCCCTGATCCCTCATCTGGAAGAGGAAGGCACCATGGTATAGAAATAAGTGCTAGACTTGAAGTCGGGAGACCTGGGTTCTAGGCTGTCTCTGCCACTGATGTTACTCCTAAAGTTATTCCCGTGGCTCCCATAACCTTCATGTCTCCCTCACCACCGCTGTCCCCTCTATACCCAGTCAAGCCCTATCTCCTATCTTAAGACATCAGTAACTCCCAGACAGTTGTCTTATCTCTTCCCTTCCCTTCACTGTCAAGCTTTGGACCCAGGGGCACACACCTGCCTCTTCCATTTTCTTCTCCTTCACTCTTTCCCCACTGCTCATCTGTCGAAATTGCCTCTCTGTGCCCCATAATGGCGTCCTAATAGCCACACCTGGTAGACATTTTTAGCATTCATCTGGTTTGACCTCTGATTACTCCATTCTTTAAGCTCTGTTTTTCTTTGCTGCTGGTGTTTTCTTTTTGGGCTCCTTCCTTGCTCCATATCCTTTCTCTTCTTCTAGCACACTCTCATCCAGTCAGTCCTCAGCCCCTACCGCTGCAAATGACACCCAGAACTCTCTGGTTCATATCTCAGATTTGGGATTAACAAACTTCCCCTTAGACATTCTGCCTGACTGGCCTCAGGCATTTTTGCTCTCTGGATGTCAAACCTAACTCATTGTCATCTCTGAAGCCATTCACTTAATTCTCCTCTGCATTCTCTCCTTAACAACCCGGTTGCAGGCAGGGCACGGGGGCTCATGCCTGTAATCCCAGCACTTTGGAAATCCACGGTGGGCAGATCATGAGGTCAGGAGATTGATGCCATCCTGGCCAACATGGTGAAACCTCGTCTCTACTCAAAATACAAAAATTAGCTGGGCGTGGTGGCACTTGCCTGTAATCCCAGCTACCTGGGAGGCTGAGGCAGGAGAATTGCTTGAACCAGGGAGTTGGAGGTTGCAGTGAGCCGAGATCCCAGTTGCCCATCCTAGAAACTGGGAGTCATGCAGGACTCCTTCTCTCACTCCCACACAATGAGCCATCAAATCCAGTCTTTCTATCTTAACATCACTGTCAAACCCACACTGTATTCCATGCCCAGTGCTGCCACCTGAATGTACTCTCCTCACTTCCTTCCTAGATTACCCACAGCCCCACCTCATCCTCCTACCGTTGCTTTCCTCCCTGAAGTCAGAAAGGAAGTACTCTCAGTTAAGTTTACAGAACTGAAGTACTCTCCTGAGCTTCAGCTCTGTGCCCATGTGCCCTGGCTTTGGATACAAGGTACTACAGCACTTTGTCCATTCTCCAGGCTTATTTCCATCATTCCACATGCACATCTTAAAAAATGCCAGCCTCAGAGAATTCTCTCTAGCCTCAAAATGTCTTTGCCCAGTGCAATTCCTTCTTCCTGTATTACCCCTTTTCCTCCTCCACACTACCTGACTGGCTAATTCTTATTTATCCTCAGTTCAAGTGCGGCCTTTTCTAGGAAGCTGACCCTTCTTGCCTACTTTGATGCCCTACACTTGCATACACTTTGATGCCCTAGGACACACCCCCCTTATTTCCCACATAGAAATAGCCTCTTGTAAATTGTTCCATTACAACCTGTATTTCAATTTGTAAGAAATTTGCACATACTGTGAGCCCCCCAACATCAGGAGACTGACTCTTTGGATGTCATTGCTAAGCCCCAGTAAATGAGTGAGTGAAAATGAGTATCCCTGGAAGTGTCATTTCTTTTTCTTTATCAAATAGGGGTGGACTGGTAATCTACCAGTCTCTGAATCATCTGACATTTAGATAAATTCAGTGAGTGATCCACCCATACACTCTCTTCTCTGCCCTGGACACATTTCCCATGATAGACATTCTGTCGTGTCCATCTTGTGCCCAAGCACCTATGACATGGTTGGGCAATCAGTTGGTAAGTGCCTAACAAGTTTTTTGAATGAGAGGCCTTCTTCCCTGCACTGACCCCAACCTCAGGTTTCATCCCTGCCCTATCCCTTTGCCCCAGTAAAACGCCAGTCACAGCCCAGTCTAAAAGATCAATTCTATTTTATTGGTTCTGAGAGAGAGGACTCACCCAGTGGACCCTATCCTTTTCCCCACACTCTGTCCTCCCCCCATATTGAGGCTCTCTCCCCACTACTGCCTACTCAGCATTCTCTATCTAACCCTCCTTCCCCTTCTACTCCCTATACTGTCCTACCCTTGGCCAGCAGGACCCCAAGGCCAGGTGCTCAGCTGTGGGGGCGTGTGCTGAGCACCAAGCAGAGGGAGCTGAGCCCAGCGCCAGCCTTCTCCAGTTCTGAGCAGGACACAGGTACCAGGGTGACATCAGAGAGCTTCTGCAGTGCCTGCACAGGGAGGACACAGGGAGGACATGGAGTGGGTAGAGGGGAGTAAGACCTTGAGGCCAGAGCCAGGCCACTCGTCCAGCCAGCTCAGAGTGGCCCCACCCAGGCTTCTAGAGAAGGCACCCTTCCTCCCTCCCACTTGGAAAGCCTGAAACTCTTTTCTCTGATGGTGCTTGGTGTTGGAGTTCCTGCCCTCCCTCACCTCCTGGCTGTTGGGCAGGTCCCCACCTCCACGGTGCAGGAGGAAAGGGGGCACACCAGGCAACCCAGGACGAAGAAAGAGACAGTCAGCAGCTGCGTCATCTGGGAGGGTCAGGGAGGCATATGGGTGATCTGTCAGCACCGCCATTGCCTGGAGGAAAGAGGAAGTATTGGAGTCTCAGAACCTCTCCACAACTGAGTCTGCCTGCTCAGCCATCACTAAGGGCTGGGGACAGACTGACATTTGTGGAATAATAATGACAGTAAGCACATAGGGCTTACTATGTCAGACATTAAGTACTTTAGCTACCTTTGTTAATTTCCTCCTTGGAATCACATGCAGTTATTTTCAACCCCCTACCCTGCCCCAGTTCCTCCCCTCATCTGTCCTCTCCATTCTTAGAGTCACAGTTTAGGTGCCACCTTTGGGGTTTTCTGAAACTCTGAAAGAGCAAATTAATCACCCCTTTTCTCAGTCCCGCTGTTGTAACTTCTTATTTACTCGTGTGTTCTTTCATATAAGATGGACAGCCCAATGAGGGCAGGGGCTGGGGCTAATTTCCTAAGCCTCCTACCTCCCTACCTCCCAGGCCCAGAGTCGCGCCCACTTTCGTTGGCCCCTCCCCCTCCTTACCCTGACAGCCTTTTGGGCAGCGTCACTGCTGCCTGCCACAACAGTGCGAGGTCCCCCCATGCCACAAAGACCGCGCAGGTGGGAAGGACCCGAGACTGGCACAGTGGAGACGGCGAAATCCTAGGGAGAGCGAGGGGAGGTATTCAGGGGCGCGGGAGGGGTGATGGGATACCCTCAAATATAGGCTGCTCTCGGCCTCTCATTCCTCATCGGGCTCCCAGGCCCTTCCGACCCCCACCTGCACCCCGCTCCCTCCCGAGGCTGGTCCCGCTCCGCACCCGGAACGTGTCCGCCACGATCTCAGCTCCTCGGTGATTGGTCCATTTGGAAAGGCCTACGAAAAACTCCCGGCCTGAGTCCGGGAGGCCGCGGAGGTTTGAGGGCAGCAGTGAGTTGGAGACAAGGCTCGAGACAGCCGAGTCTCCCAAACTCTACTTCCCTGTGCCAAGACCCCGGGGTGCCGCCACCCCAGCCTCACCGGTAAAGAGAACGTCAGTGCCATCCAGCGTGGCATTCTCGTCTCCTATTTCCACAATTCGGAGCCCCAGGTCCTGGAGGGCTTTGCGGACTCCATCGACCTTAGGGTAGGAGAAGAAGGCAGGGTGCTGAGACACCCCCATCCCCAAATCTTTCCCAAAGCCCCGACATCCAGCTCCTCCTGCCCTTCCCCATACCACACCTGCGCCGTGGCGCTCACCTCACCTCTGGCCTACGAGCAGGGCTCCACGGCCGCGTGATTAGGGCCGTGTCCCCTTGGATCACGGCCGTGTCACCAAGCAGTGGTCCCAGCGGCAACGACTCCTCAGGTGGCAGTTCTAGCAGCTGTAGCCCCAGTCGCTGCCTCAGTTTACCTCCCAGCACCCCGTGCTCCCTTTGAGCTTTGGCCAGATCCAGAGCGGGAAGGCCAGCCCCTGCACCTTCCCCCGACGCAAGGCTCTCTGGGACTCCCCGGATCAGGGCATGGGAGCAGCGGCCCAGCCCCTCCCCCGGCGTCCCCATCCCATCCACACAGACGCCCCTCCAACCGTTCGGATTTCTTAGTTTTCTTGTTTCTTCACCTGTCTGGGAGAACAAACAGAAAGGCGGGAGACAGAGAAAAAGACATGCAGACAAGGGCGTTGGGGGCTAAGAGTGCCCAGGTCTTCCTCCTGCCATCTCTGGGCGTCCCTCCCACCCCGCCCAACCCCCTCTAGACCTTCCCCTCCTGTCGACTCCACTCTACCCAGCACCCTCAGGAGTCAGATTCTTTAAGAGGAGTCTGAGGAACAAGGGTAGGATCTCTAATCTCCAAAACACCTGTTGCCCCTGCTCGGGGGCTTCGTGAGGTCCCTGCCGGGCGCCCCTCTTGGCAGCCACTAGGATGCGCTCACTCCCCAAAAATGCAGCGGCCCCGCCCCCTTAACCCTCAGCTGCTCGCTACCATGGGGACCAGAAGTCCGGCCCGGGACCCGCAGGGGTTATGGGACAGAAGGAGAAAGCTGGAGAATCAGGGGCTGGGGGATGGAAGTCCTGAATGCCCGAACGAGGGAGAGAGGGGGGCAGGGAGCTAGGAATTACAGCCTAAGGAGTTAAGCATCCTCTCTCCGTCCTGGTCGGTCAAGCTGCCCCTAGCGCGACCTAGTATAAACCAGACCGAGTCCCGGAGGACTGGGAGAGGTCTAAAACGAAATGCGAGGGGCGGGGAAACAGGGGGCGTGGTTCCGGGGAGCTGGCGCCACTCCCGGCTCCAGGACCCGGTCCCCCGTCTACGTCCCAAAGTCCACCCCGCCTAGCTCCGCGCCCAAATGCCGGCTCCCCATCCTCTCTGTCCGGTGCAGGCATGGGCCCGGCACCCCCAAACTCCGGCTCCCAAACGGTTCAGGTCTCCCCACCCAAGACTCACCTCCAGCGGCCACCCCCACTCCTGTCGCGCTGAGATCTCGGCTGGGGCCCCACCCCCCCGAGAACAGAGTTGGTGGAGAAGGGATTCCCCGTCTTCAAGCTCGGGGACTGGGAGCTCAGGCTATTGGTGGGGGGGGGGTTCTAGGGTAGGCGAGCTCAAATAGTAAGATGGGGCGGGGACGCGACGGTCTGGCGGCTCCGGGGCATTGTCTAAGCGGGACGGGGCGGGGATTCTGCGGGCCACGCCCATTCCGCCCTGCTAAGCCTCGCCCATTCCACCCAGACTGCGCCCCCCTTGCCAGAAATCGGCACCGCCCAGCAAGGGCTGCCCAGGCCCACCCAGATCTGGCCGGCCCTGGCGGCGGGGCTGCAAACGCGGCGTAGACCTCAGAACAGCACTAGGGCGGACCGGCATGAAAAATAGCAGACCCACCACAAACATCTCCCTTCTTAATTCCTGGCTCCGGCCCTGAGCTCAAGATCACTGACCCACCCCTCATTCCATGTCACCCACACTTCAACCCCCGCTTTGTGTAAAAACACTTGATTTTTATTCTGTACTTTATTACTGAAATATGTTGTCCTACCCATCCCACCCCACAAAAAAATCTCACCCAGGTCCCCCATTTCTTTCCCTCACCCCCCTTCCACCACACCATCCCAGAACAAGTGCTCCAGGATTCCCTTTCCACTGGCCATTTTGGAGTGTGTCCATTGGGTAGCAATGTGGAAACCACCAGGAAAAAATGGTGAGAAAATGGTGGGGGTTGACGGAGTCCCAGGAGGGGCTTATTTGAGGGCCTTGGCCACTTGCTCATAGGCGAGCTCAATTTCCTCATCATCTGGACAGGTGGAGGCGAATTCTTCCCTTGCGTAGGCATTGCTCAAGTACCGATGCACTCCCCGGAAGGCCTCAGGGATAGTGAATCCCCTGTATTTCTTACATACCACCTGAGGATGGGGAGAGGAGTGGGACCAAGACGTTAGCCCAGGGAAGCCACCTTGACTGCTACACTGGCCTGTCCCTTCTCCCCAGCCTACATGATAAAACCAGCTCAACCCCGCAGTCTTGTACTGTCTCCAGCCCTCCTTTTCACATACTGAAATCCTGGCCTTTCATTACCAACCATTTTTCTTGAGTTTTTAAAAGTTGAGATATAATTCACATATAAAATTCTCCTCTTGAATTTCCACAGTGACTTTTCCCCCCATACCTCTTCAGGTACTGAAGCAAGTGACTTTGGTCTCTATTATTTTTCATCTGACTTTTTTTTTTTTTTTTTTGAGACAGAGTCTTGCTCTGTCTCCAGGCTGGAGGGCAATGGCGCGATCTCGGCTCACTGCAACCTCTGCCTCCCAGGTTCAAGCGATTCTCCTCCTCGGCCTCCCCGAGTAGCTGGGATTACAGGTGCCTACCAACATGAGTGGCTAAGTTTTGTATTTTTATTTTATTTTCACCATGTTGGCCAGGCTGGTCTCGGATTCCCAACCTCAGGTGATCTGCCCGCCTCAGCTTCCCAAAGTGTTGGGATTACAGGCGTGAGCCACCACGCCCAGCCCATCTGACTTTTCATCATATATTCGTGGTTTCTTTTTCTTTTTTTTTTTTTTTTGAGACAGAGTCTGGCTTTGTCACCCAGGCTGGAGTGCAAGTGGCGCAATCTCAACTCACTGCAATCTCCACCTCCCAGGTTCAAGTGATTCTCTTGCTTCAGCCTCCTGAGTAGCTGGGACTACAGACACGTGCCACAATTCCCCGCTAATTTTTTGTATTTTAGTAGAGATGGGCTTTCACTATGTTAGCCAGAATGGTCTTAATCTCCTGACCTCATGATCTGCCTGCCTCGACCTCCCAAAGTGCTGGGATTACAGGCGTGAGCTGCTGTTCCTAATCTTCATCATATATACTTAACTTTCATGTGAATATTTTATTGTCTCAGATTTCAACCCTTTGAGAGCAAGGACCAATCACCATACACTTGTGTATCTTTCATGCTTAGTACATAGATGTTCACTACACAGTAGTGTGGCAGACTGATGTCAGGCCCATGTTGTACAAACTAAACCATAGCTTTGAGGCTATGACAAAAACACAGGAATCAGCAGTTTTGATCTTCCACAAGAGGAAGTGAACACTGAAGCTATAAAGAAAGTTACAGCTTTGACTTTAGGAAAAGCCTGCTCTGTCTAATCTGGGAATTTGGCATTGTACCGAGACAGGAAGAGAATTCTTCAAAAGTAATCATGGGATGTATTCCTCTTGGCCAGTCTCTTTCTACCCATGGCTTATATCATGGAATATAATGATCTCAACCAGTGGTCTTGACAGCAATGACTGCCACAAAGGACTGGGGTGGGGTCTGCCATTGGTAGCAATCTATGAAAACCACCCTAAGAAAGAGGCCTTCTTTAGAGTGGTTGTCAGGGGAAGCCCATGTTTGAGCTCCTTAAAGAGCGAATCCCAGTGGTCATCCTTTCCTCCCATAATAACCACACACCTGTACTATGTGTAGCTTTGGCAACAGGTTGCAGTCAGCCAGGGTGAGCTCATTGCCATCCAGAAACTTCCTCTGAGAGATGCCCTCATCTTCAGCACTGGTTTCATCCACTTCTTCTGGGAGGGGGGATGTTAAGTAATTGTCTAAAACCTTCAGGGCTTTCAGGAGTCCCTTCTCCAGATCTGTGCAAGAGAGGGAATTGATTAGAACTTCAGGAAAAGATTGACATAATCTGAGAAGGCCCATTGGGTGTGGATACTTACGGTGAGTCCAAAATAATAATAGTTAACACTCACGTAGTTACTTTTCTATGTGTTACACTAAGCACTTTCCATTTTATTTAATTTTTTTAGATGGAATCTCGCTCGATTGCCCAGGCTGAAGTGCAGTGGCATGATCCCAGCTCACTGCAACCTCTGCCTCCCAGATTCATGTGATTATCTTGCCTCAGCCTCCTGAGTAGCTGGGATTACAGGTGCCTGCCAAAACACATGGATAATTTTTGTATTTTTTTTTTTTTAGTAGAGACCAGCTATGTTGACCAGGGTGGTCTCCAACTCCTAACCTCAGGTGATCTGCTCCCCTTGGCCTCCCAAAGTGAGCACTTTACATTTTAAAAACTCATTATCACCAGGCACAGTGACTCAAGCCTGTAATCCCAGCACTTTGGGAGGCTGAGGTGGATGGATCACCTGAGGTCAGGAGTTCGAGACCAGCCTGGCCAACATGGTGAAACCCCGTCTCTACTAACTACAAAAATTAGCTGGGCATGGTGACACACATCTGTAATCCCAGCTACTTGGGAAGCTGAGGCAGGAGAATCACTTGAACCAGGAGGCAGAGGCTGCAGTGAGCCAAGATCATGCCACTGCACTCCAGCCTGGGCAACAGAGTAAGACTCCATCTCAAAAAAAAAATTTTTTTTTTGGATCTGGAAATGGACTTACAGAAAGGTGAAATGAATGCTTAAAGTTATACAGCTAGTTGGATTTGTACTCAGGTAATCTGGATGTAGAGTGATGATTGTTCTTAAGCACAACTCTATTCTGACAGGAAATAGGCCAGCAGCCAACTAATGTCCCCCTGGGGCAGAAGAGGCTAGGGAACAAATGAGAAAGGTTTAAAAGTCTTGGCCAATGAAAATTCAGGGAAATATAGAGGTAAAGGAAAAATGGGAAGCTGGGGGAGATTTACCAACATCTGTTTCATCTCCCTATATCTGAACTTCCAGGTGTCCCTAATGTCTCCCACCCACTGGGTCCTCTCTATTCCTCCCAGGACCCAGGCCTCTGACCCACAAGACTCACTATCATTGAGTGCTGGGTTTGAATTCTTGATGTAGGCAGAAAATTTGGCAAATATGTCCAGCCCAGCTGTGTTGGACTCAGGGTTCAGAGCTGCCAGCTTGGGGTACCTGAAAGCCAATGGGAAAAATGAGGTCAGATGTTGTCCTGGGAGGAAGCTCAGCTAGCTCCCCTGCCCCAGCCCCACCATCATCTCTGTTTTCCATTTCTGCAAACTGTCTGTTTCCTACAATCTCCCTGTGCTGCTGCCTCTCCCCTTTCTGAGTGTCCCCATACCTGGGAGGGCATAGCACTGCCTCCAGAAATTCCTCAATCTTGTTGGTGTCTGTGTGCACTTCAGTGCCATACAGCAGGAATGGGAGCTGCCCTCCTGGGCACAGCTTCTGCACTGTCTCGGTCCGCCTGGAGAAAGGGCCAGGCATCAGGACTGGAAATGGGGGTCAGGGAGAACCAGAAAGTGGAGATGGAGGGATGTAGGATAAGAAAGGGACTCCAAGGAGGAGGGCAAAAATGTTCAAGATAGAAGGACTCAGGTGTGTTTGCACACATGTATACACAAGGGGTGTTTCAAGGAACAGAAGCAGGCCTACCTCTTGGTGTCAACTGTGGTAACGTTGAAGGTGACTCCCTTGAGCCACAGGACCATGAACAGTCTCTGGGAGAAGGGGCAGTTCCCAATCTTCGCCCCATCACTGCCAGCCTGAAAAGCAACCCCAGCCCAAAGTTATGCCTGGTGCACCCCATCCACCCCCAGGCCAGTCTCTGCACTTCCACTCCCAGACCAGCTGCTTTCTGCCTAGTCATGACGCATACACTCTCCCCTCACTGTGGACTCTTTGCCCTTGGGCCTGAGTCAAACCTAAATCAGATCAATGGGAAATTTTTTTGCAAAGGCAGGCTTCTGGTTCCCCAGAGACTGAGGACAGTGGGAGGGAGGTAGAGGGAAGAGGTCCTCGAGAACTTGGAGGATCTGAATCCTACCCTAGTGAGGGAAGTGTGTGGAACTTCAGTGAGGCCAGAGTTGTAGGCCAGAAGCCTGGATTTCTGGGTTCCCGAAGGAAGCAGAGTCTCTAGACAGGAGAGGTTTGGGAGCCAGAGCTCTAGAGATGTGGAGGGCCCTACAGAGGGGGACTG